TACTTTAGGCCCGGAAGTAGGATTCGTCACGTCATCACTTAACGACCGGATAATAAGGTCCTCAATTTTAGCAAATTTTAGCAAAGTCGTGTCTAAAGTAAGTAAAACTATCACCATCACTGCTAAACACAAAAAAGTTCAGACTGAATTTAAAGTAAACTTTGTTTTTTACATTTTTGTCTTCACAATTAAATCCATGAACGGCAGTTCTGCTCCAGCATGTTCAAAGTTACTGAACAAGTTTTAAAGATTAGCTTCGGGAAGACGTAACTAAACATCATGAAAACAGAAAGAGTGTCTCTTCAACTGATGAATGAATCCCTGCCGGACCTCACAAGTACAGTAATACGTGTGTGTGTGTGTGTGTAGTGATCTGCTTCCATATGAAATTCCAGTGACGGTCACACATCACATCCTGCTTCTATTGTTTCACATCTGCGTTCTATTATTAGAGTCTCAATCCTCAGACCTCCATCGGCAGCTGCTTCAGCTCCTCCACCGACTCCACCAACGCTGCTCCACAGCTTCACCTCCTCAGCTCCGCCTCCCTGTCTCTCATTCTGTCGTCTTTAATCTGAGGAGTTTTTCTCTGTTTTCTGTCTGAATAAATTCAGTGGCTCTAATCGATTCTGATCACTTCCACTGATGATCGATCGCTGCAAACAAACACTACTGCTAAATAAAGTTTCTTTGAATTCAAAGAGAGCGTTCGGGGTTGCTGTGAAATGTAAACAAAGCCCTCCTCCTTCCTTTTTAACCAAATCATGTCAGAAAACCTTTCACTTCCTGTTGTGCTGTGTGTGTGACCTCTGACCTTCGTTTGCGAGGATGATGAACTTGGACGCCTTGATGACCTTCCCGTCCAGCGTCCAGGTGACAGTGACATCAGAAGCGGTGGCGAGGCGGCACTGCAGCCGGAGCCGCTGACCGTCCAGCACCGTCATGTCGCTCAGCTTCTCTACAAACTCCGGCGCCGCACCTCCTCCTCCTCCTCCGGTGCTCTTCTTCTCATTAATCCCTCCATCCATGCAGTTGTTCACCTCCGCCTTCTCCCCGTTCTTCTCGGGGGCCGTCGGGTTCTTCTTGTTGGTGAGGACAGAGCGGAAGTCGCCGGCGTTCTTCGTGGGCGTCTCTGCGGCCTTGCTGCTGTTGCTGCTTGCGGCGCCCTTCTTCCCCAGCACGCTGCGGAAGTCGACCTGCGATGGGGAGTTCACCTTCTCTTCGCTCTTGGGTTTGACACCCTTGAGGTTGGCCTTAAAATCCATGTGGTGGCGCTGGTTGTGCTCGGTGGTGGCGGGGCCGGCCTCCCTCTGCTCGTCTCCCTCTTGGATGTTTTTGCCTTGAACGGCTCGGCGTCCAAGCAGCGAGCGGAAGTCCAGCTGCTGCGCCTCCCTCTGCCGCAGCTCCTCTTCACCCCGCTCCCTGGTTTCCACACAGCGTTTGAGGAGGCCTCTGGGAGCAGTGGTCTGGTCCTCCTCTTTCTTCTTCTTCTCTTCCCTGTGCAGGTGCGGGAGCTGCCGGTTCTCCTTCTGCTCCTCGTTGGCCTCCTGCCACTGCCGACTGACACCACTGCTGCTGCTTCTCTGCTCCACGCCTCCTCCTCCTTTGCCACCTCCTCTCAGCACCACGCTCCCACCAGCTGCTCCTCCTCCTGCTCCTCCTGCTGCTGCTGCCAGGCTGGATGAACAAGCACAGAGACAGATGGAGGGACACAGAGAGAGAGCAAGAGGACAAGCTCCGCCCCCCAGGTCTTAGCTGGTGGGGTGGGAGGTGGGGGGGACGACCTCGACTCAAATTGTTCATGTTACATCACAAGTGACTCAACTGCCCGAATATGGGCATGAGCAGAGGGAACACACACACACACACACACACAGATGTAAACAAAGAAAAAGCAGACTGAGGACACACTCCTCCTCCTCCTCCTCCTCAGTTCTGAAGCTGCTGACTCTTTTTCACAGTTTCATCAAACTAAAGCAAACGGGGTTTCTTCCAGCAAACACTCGCAGCAGAGTAAACACAGAGAGGAAATACTGGCTCTGATTGGTCGGGGTGATATGGACGGATTAGAGAAGCTTTAGGGAATTTCTGGATAAATAACAGAAGGATGGAGGGAATGGTGGGTGGGTGTGAGGAGGGGGTGGAAACAGGAACAGAGAGCTGGGAATAGTGGGGGGGGGCTGACGAAGTCTGACGGAGTCAGACTCTATGCTGATGATGCAGAGGTCTGTTTAGGGAATGAGACGTTTTAAAAATTCGTCAGGTTCAACCAATCACGCTCGTACGGCACAGAAATCTGACTCCACCCTCTTCAGCCAGCTGCAGGTGTCCAGGTGAGTGAGGTCTCACCTGCTGCCGTCCCGTCCTCTCCTGTCCTTTTCTCGTCTTTCGGTGACCGACAGCGTGGCCACAGCGCTGCACTCGCCCACGCTGTTCCTGAAACACAAAGTTTATCTTCTACATGCAGCATCTTCTCACAGGCATTAAGACCATCTCCCACTTCCACGCCACTGATTCATCACAGCAGTGTTTTCATTCAGGCACTGCTGCACTGTGCTATTTGCAACGTCAGACTTCATATGAGAAACTGATCCTTTTATCTCTCATTAATGGCACATAACATTTTCCCTTTAAGAGAGGAAAAGACACCAGGTAGGCTCCACTGGTCCTGATTAACAATGTTCATAAACATGTGACTGAAATTACCCTGGAAGTTGTTGCCTTTGTTGTCTTTGTTGTCTTTGTTAGCACTAATCACATTATGTCTTGATGCTCAATCATCCAGGTAATAAATCTCCAAAAGTTGATTCTGTTCATCTGAACGTTTTCAGTGGGAGAAAGGTTTCGTCATCATCCAGGTGACTTTCTCTTCAGTCTCTGAAGAAGTCACATGATGTGGAAAATCTGATATTTACTTTTATAGATCAACTTTTTGTCTTTTTCAGTCCGAAGCTCTCCTGTATTCACATCTGTGGAAAAACGGCCTCTGTGCCATCAGAGACGTCTTCAGTTCATCTGTTGATTGTAAAAGTTGTTTTTATATAGAATGACCTCTGCACTTGATTTTCTCTGCATCAACCTTTGAACGTCTAAGACTTCACAGACAGCAACCCTACACTTGCCCTACAATCTGAAGAAAACACAGGGAACGTTTGATGTTTGTTAGAACTATTATGTTATGTTAGCTGTCCCAGCTGAGGACAGGTTTTCAGTAGGTTTCCATTCACACATAACAATCCATCCTTCTCTTGCACTGTCAGTCAAAGCTGTTACTGGCCACAGTGTGATGTTTGAAACCATCCAAATACTGACTTGGTTTGTAAATAACTTTCGGGACATTCAGAATTTGTTTTTTACTTGAGATCCAACAGTTTCCTGTTTTAGTAAATTGGAAATTATCCATTATTATGAAGTGTATATTTCAGTAATAATGTTTGATTGACAGTAAATCGTTAGGCTCACAATGGTGTCACTCATGGCTCAATGACTTTGAGGTTTAAAGCTGCATTTCCACCGTAGGAACTTTCTACAGGTTTGGGACCATTTGGATAAAATTAGGTCTGAATTAAGTTCTGGGGATATTCTCTTTACCTGCAAGGGTGTAGTACTTCAGAAAGGACAGGAACTTGGTCCAAAATATCTGAACTTTGGAGTTTGTGAAATATCAAAAGATCCTGAACTTTTCAGAGATCTGGAGCTCTGAAATTTCAGGACCTTGGATGGTCCAGATCAACCATCCAAGGTCCTCAATACACCTGAACCAGAACTGTTCAGGAACTTTACCAACCAACATGACCAAGTTTTTGATTGGTTAAGCACTTGTTCTCAGTATTACTGTCACTTAAAAACACCCAGAGGACCTCGTCTGTGCGGCACCTTTAAATTCCTTGATGTTGGTTTGTGTTTCGGGTAAAGTGCAGCTTTACCGTCTCTCACAGTTTCTTCATGTTCACCAGCACATCACGTATGATTTTCATGAGCAGAAGGAGATTTCTCTTCTATTCTCATGTTACATAATCATGCTTTGAATATGATGCAGACTGCTGTATGTGCTGGGGTGGATGATGAGGTTATGGATGGATAGATTATGGAGGGGGGAGGGTTGGTGGTTCCTCTGTGAGTGTAATCCTCACTGCAGCTCTGTACTGTAGATCATCTGGGATTATTTTAGCATGTCTGCAGAATCTGTGTCTTTTTATGACATGTGAGTGTTTACAGTATCTGCGCCTGTGGATCTGTTACCTCAGGCTGATCAGGTACTCTCCGCCATGTTCCTTCTTCACTCGTCTGAAGAAGAAAACAAAGTTAGCTGTATCAGGTGTGGTTAGCTGCAGAGCGTGTGGTTTGTGTGTAACTGTAAACCTTATGAGCAGGGAGACGACGTCCTCTTTCTGCAGAAGTTCATAGTCGCCTCCGGAGGTCAGAGATTGGCTCGGGTCGGTTCTGGTCCAGGTGTACTGGGGAAACGGATCTCCGGCGATGGCACAGGACAGGAGAACATGCTGACCAACAGCAGCGCTCACCTCTTTGGGCTTGGTGATGAACCAGGGCTGGACGCCGTCCTGAGGCTCTGCAGAAAACCACAATAATAAATCTGGGTTTATATGGAGGTCGTGTGGTTGAGCCTCACATAGGAAACCCAACATATACACTGTATATAGTGTCTGAACACAATGACACCAAAGTCGATCGGTCAGTGGTTGAGCTACAGCACAGACATCCTCAGTTACAGCTGGAGGGTTGATGTCTTCTCCCTCCCAATCCTCATGGACACTAATCAGATCATCCCGGGAGTTTGGATGGGTAAACATCGTATCCACACAAACTCAGGATCCACAGACCGTTCAACCTCTCCATGAACTATAAGTTACCATTCAGACTCTGACAATAAAGAAGCATGTAATGCATGACCAAAGCAACAATCGCACTGAACACCCGACGCCGGCTGACAGGACTGGAGTTTTCTTTGGCTTTTTTTGTCATGTAGAGGTTGTGTGCAGGCAGGAGCGGTGATATGGACCCAAAGTGCAGACACTCAGAGGCAGAAAGTAAACTCAGATTTATTGCTATATGGCAAACAGAGACCTAGCAAAACTGATAGTACAAATACTAAACTGAAAATAACAATAACCTGAACACACAGCAAGATGAGCGTAGATCGCGACACGGACACAGAGAAACACAGAGGGGGCAATCAGGGCTGACGAGACAAAGGAAGCAAAACCTGACGTATTAACATGAGACACGGACTTTCAAAGTAAAACAGGAAACACAGACTGAACGTATAGACACAGACTCATAAGCAGGCACTGCAACAGAGACGTGGGAACAGGGCAGACACAGACACTGACTGGACACAGAATAGAGTATGGAAACCAAAACCTGAGAACTACATAATCAAACACCAAGAATAACGGGGAAAATAGAAATGCAAAAGCTTCACAAAAATAAACTAAAAAGAGAACACAAATAAAGGGTACAAAACAGAACGACCCAGGAACCCTAACATATTTGGGGCAGGGTGGATTTGGTATCAGGATCAGAAAGGCTGTGGGTTTGTAATTGTTGTGTTTGTGAACATTGCAAAAATCCCCACATTCGTGTCACTCAGGTCTCAGTGCAACTGCAGCATACCCTCCACAGTGAGCCGGGCCTGGGTCTGGTCCTCTCCATACTGGTTCCAGGCCCGGCAGCTGTAGGTCCCGGTGTCCTCGGGGAAAACCTCGTGGATCAGCAGAGTGCAGCGGGTTCCCTCTCTGAGGAGCTGGAAGTCCTCTGACTCGGTCACCTCCTGCCCATCGTGGAGCCACACCACCTCTGGAGGAGGGTGACCTGAGGCCCACAGACAGCTTCATTCAAACATCAGGACACATCAGTGATGCAGTATTTTTTAGAATTAAAGGAGTGGCAATATTTTGCTTATTTAATTTACATTTTGCTTATTTAATTTACATTTTAGTGTTGTTGAATCAAAAGTAAAAAAAGGCAAACTGGAAGTGCAGTTCCTCTGAAATCCAGCAGAGGCAGCAGTGAGTCAGTCCTCATAGACGTTAGCCTCATACACTAACTGATTGGTCTTCATGGATAATTATCCACCTTCATAACGCCTGGACAGGGGTAGGTGGTCTTTATAACTCACCTGTTTATTTGTTATTAGGGGCGTGGCCTCTTTGACTGACAGGTGGAGGTGACACAGGCGGCTGTAGCTGCTAACTGTTTGCTAGTTTCACCTGAACTGGACCTCTGGGCTGTGTTTGTGCAGTTGGAGCATTATTAATAACATCATCTGACCAATAACATGGCTGCTGTGAGGTCACTGTACTAACAGACCATCCAAGAAGGCGGAGCTTCAGTTTTGATACACAGTGAAATTCAAGGATTGTGATTGGACGTTGAGCACTGATCAGCAGGTATCTGTGTCTGCACTCCATCATCTCATCCAGTTACGTTTGGCTGCAGGATGTGGACTCATAATGTCAAGTACTGTCACAGCCGCCATTATTTAGATACAGTCAGTGATTTAAAGCTAAATTCAAATGAAATTTGATTAATTTCATGGATGCTTCAGTAAAGCTGCTTTAACTCTAGCTGTGGATGTAAAATTAGTTTAAATACTTTGTATAATTGTACATTTAGTACAATTATTTATTAATACGTCAGTATGACCTTTAGGGGAGTTCAGTGTAATGATTGGGTAAGAAAAACATCCAGAGGTCAGAGGTGTGTGTGTGTGCGTGTGTGTGCGTGTGTGTGTGGCTCCATAAATTTCAGTTTCGTGTGGAAATGAAGCTCGTGCAGAGAAGCAACAGCACCTCTAATCTTCACACAGCTTATATGGAGAAGAAAACCCAGTGTGGAAAATCATTATGTAACACACACACACACACACACACACACACACGCACACACACAGCGGGGTTAATAATGTGGGGACTCATGATGAACTCATAATTCAGAAACAATATGTGCTGTCATATCAGAGCAACAACAACACTCAGAGGAAACGAAGAAGTAAATCTGCCCTCATCGCATCTCCTCCATCTCCCCAGAGATCAGACAGGAAATACCACAGCTCGCACACACACACACACACTTACCGCTCAGCTCCACCGTCATGGCGACTCTGCTGCCGTCCATCACCTTCAGATCGCTCAGGCGACCAATGAAGCGAGGAGCTTCACACGCAGCTCTGACCTCTGTGACCTCTGACCTCCCGCCTCTCTGTCTGCCTGCAGGGCGGAAACACACAAAGAAGAAAAAGGAGCAGTTACTAATGTAATGAAGTACATTTACTCCAGTACACGAGAGTACTCCAGTCTACTGATACTTCAAATGTCAAAGGGAAATAATGCACGTTTGACTTCCTGTTTTTATTTACAGTGTAACAGCCAATCACATTAAACTACCATAATCCAAACTCAGAGCTCAGTGTGTTAGCCTGAGGCAGAGAGAGAGCACAGAGAGCACCAGCCTGAGCCTCACTCGTCCTCTTCCTTATAAGGAGCGAGGGTTTCCTTTTCTCTCTCCCTCCATCAGACACACACACACACACACACACACACACACACTAAAGTCCATTAAACATGCCTGTGTTTGTGTGTGCGCTCATGTGAGGAGGGACAAATGTGTGTGTGCGTGTTTTGTTCTGTGTACATATTAGAAATACCAGAGAGGACACACACTGCTTCACTGGCTGTGTGTGCGTCACATTAACTGATGAACACACACACACACACACAGACACACACTAAAGCATAATCATATTTCCATGCTGGGGTTGTGCGCTCATGTGAGGAGGGACAAATGTGTGTGTGCGTGTTTTGTTCTGTGTACATATCAGAAATACCAGAAAGGACGCACACTGCTTCACTGG